CTGCATCGCGTGTAAGACAACACTTTTCGGATTACGGTTTGGTGTGCAAGGATCCGGTGCGACTGAGAGATGGAGCAAGAGTTCTTGGCTTGCAGGTCTGGGAAGAAAATGGCACCCTCTGATGGAAACGAGGAAGTCAAATTCGGAAGCCCCTGATGTGTTGACCGGTAGCGTATTTTTAGTTGTGTGGGAAACTTGTTGGACACTTCCCAGTGTGTGGATGGCTCAGGGTGGCAGTTGCATTCGTCAAGCGCCTGGCAACCGCAGCAACCAATGGATGGGATGATAACATCAAAGATCCCCTCTCTGTCGCATACTAGCAGAGATGTTAAGTAGAGTGCGGGAACTGGATCCCGTCGGAGGAGACTGGTGCATGAGTGGTGGCGAGATCACAGTCTGGGTGGATGCGAGTTCCGTGGCGACAGGAGTGGCGTTGGAAGTAAGCGGAAATGTCATCGAAGATGCGTGCTGGCTGCGTCCGACTAATGATGCCAGGCACATTAACTTGGCTGAACTTCGATCGCGGCGCTTTTAAAGGAGTGAATCTGGCTCTCCAGTGGGAGGCGACAACGTTAACTTGGTCACTGATTGGCGTGTGTGCACCGGTGGATTTCAGACACCTTGACCGGGAAGGCGCGGGTGAACACAAGGGCGGCTGGTGAGATGCTGGTCAGGCGACGGCTGGGCATTTTGCGATCGTTGGTGGACGAATATGGATTGACCGTGGACGTGACACTTTCGTGCAGTCCTGTCAGAACCGTGCAGATCGCCTCACCAGAGTACCGCACAGGTGGCTAGAACTGCTCAAGAGAGGAGAACCGCACTTTCGAGAGCTGTGCAGTGGCAGGGAGACGACTGGATGAGGACCAGGTTGCCAATACGCATCGTCAATGCGGACATCCGGGCGTGAAACGAACTCTGTACTTCGCAGGGAAAGCATGATATCAAAATTCAATATATCAGACTAATAGTGGATAACTGAATGATAAAATGGAAGAAAAGTAACCTGTTATGACTTCTTCAGCCTAAAGAATGTATGTGTGTTATTTTCTTTTAAAGATTCCTTAAATGTCCATATATTCTCTTATATAAATTTTTAGACTTTTTACCAATGTATTTCTTACAACATTTTTTTACCCTATTCAGTAAATTCTTGCTTCAGGTTTAAGGTTGTTGCTATTTTGCCTTGTGCTGATTAAATCTTTTACTGTTTTTGAAGTACAACCAGTCTGAAGTTATTATGCAAATCAAATAAGCCTCATTAATTCAAAAGTTTCTGAACCAATATTTGTCAAATCTAAACTAGACCATTTCCACCCTTAGTAAAATATTTAACTAAATTTTCTGCCAGTTTTAATGGTTAATTTTTGAGATATTTGGAACTTACAAAAATGGACTGACAAAAGTTAGTATGCAGATTAAACTAATATTAGCTTAAGACCTCTGAAATGTAATAAAAACTATTTTTTTTGTTAATAATATATGTTGAAACATGGGTAAAGGGAGTGATTTAACAACTGCTGAAAACAGAAAATAAAGTTATTGAGTTAGGGAATGTCCATATTGGTGATATCAAAGGAGCTTTGCAGAGATCATTGAATGACAAAAAAAAGCTGTTGAAAATATAAGTAGGTTGAGCACTAGAAGCAAAGGAAAAGGTTTTAAGAACTTGCTTCATCAAGATGAATGTAAACTTAAGCGAGTTATAGCAAAACAACCACTTATGACCAGTACTCAAATCTTTGAAAAGGTTGGAATTGAGGGATTCAAGAAGGACAAAAGGTGTAGAATACTTTGTGAATTGGGATGTGTAAAAAAATCTCCTAGGCAACTTCCTCTTGCTAAAGCAAATATTTTTAATGCATCACAATTGAGCCGAGAAATACATTAAAATTGACTTTTTTAAAGTAATTTTCATGGACAAATCTTGAGTGACATTCAATGAACCTGATGGATGAGCCAAAGGAAGGATTTTATCCAAATTAGGTATGCCTGTGGCTAAAAGAAGGCAAAAAGGAGGCAGTAGGGTTATGATATGGGCTGGAATTGTCAATCAAACCATTACTGGATCATTTAAAGTCAATGAAAGAGTTAAACTGAACAGTGCTTACTATTACAATTTTATGAACAAGACTTTCTTTGCATGGTACAAGTTCCAGTCTCACAGTTTCAAAGTGAAGTGTGTATTTATGCATGGCAATGCTCCTTCTTATATATTTAAGCTTACCCATGAATTCTTTGAGCATAAAAGATTTACAGGAGAGAAGATAATGGAAAAGGCCACAATAAAGTCCTGATCTGTCTCTAATCAAAAATCTCTGGTCAAACTGTGAAGATGAAATTATATGAAGATGGCAAACAATACAACCCCAAAGGAGAATTGTGAGAAGCAATTAAAATTATCATGTCAGAAATTGAATCTGCTGAAGTAAAAGAAAATAACAAAGTCAATGGATAATAGATTATTGGCTGTTATTAAGGATCACTATATTAAAATGTATAGGATTCAAAGACTTATCATATGTGTTTGTTATTTGTTCTATTATAAGTATTGATCAATTTTTGATGATGTTATTACCTTTTTATTGAAGTAAAATGTGATTATTTGGTTTTGCCTAATAACTTCAGACGGCAGTTTTTTAGAATACATCAAATACCTTCCATAACTTCAATAAAACATATTGATACTACCTAAAATTTTAACTCAAGCTTTGTTTTGACATCTAAATTGATTGTTTAAAATTTGACAATTTTTTCAAACCAAAATTAAACTATTGAAGCTTATATGATTTGCTTAATAACTTCATGAGAGAGTATAATTGTAACACATTTTATGTTAATGTGATAATGTTGTTTATGTGATACATTCTTTTCAGTCAAAGTTATTATTGAATTGATAGGTTATACTTGGTGTCTAGTTTTATTAAGATTTGAATTAAGAGCTCTTAAATAAAAGCCAATAATTATTCCAGATTATGTTATGGTGTGAATAGAAGTTTTTGAGTGGATTTTCAATAGACATTTAGTGTTAGATAATTATCAGCATGGTTTAACATGATATCAAGGAAAGATAATGCTTGTTTCTGTTTCATAAGTTGTTGGTTGTTTTTGTTTAGCAGCATATCAACCTCTATAGGTTATTTAATGATGAAATCTAAATATTTTGTATGCAATTTTTTTTGGGAGGGGGGAATAATATTTTTAGTGATACAAGTCTTGCTAATAAATCCATAGCTGGGAGGAAAGAGGTGGAGTCATACCTTTCCCAAAGGTATTAGCACATAATTGAATATAACAAACCTAACAGGAATTGGAACTTGGCTCTCTGATTTACAATTTAAAGCCATTATCCATAACACCACCCACACATCCAAGCTAACAGTGCCTGGTGTTTACCCATCTAGGTAATGACCATGCTCAATGTTGCTAAACTTCAGTGATTGTATGGAAACCAGTGTTGCAACATGATGTGGCCATAAATAAATTTGATTCATAACTATTTAATGTAAATCAGAAATAGGCAATAGGTACAAAGAGAAAAGAAGACCTAGAGAATTTAACACTCACAAGGCATAATGAAGGAAAAAGAAGCAGGGGTAAACAGTGAGTAACCTTTTTAAAGCGTTTGTGTGAAAGAAGGATAGTAAAAAGTCAGAAGTTATTTCAAGCAACAAAAAACAAGTTGTGGATAGCCATGATTGCCTTGGAGGGACATGGCACATAAAAGAAAGTTTTTTCCCCGAAGGTTTTTTCCCTATCTTTTATTATGTTTTTTTAAGTGTGAATTAAAAACATTTTTATTTCAAAATTTTCCTGATTGATATACTGTCAAACATCAGCTGCAACAAGTGAGTACACAAGGAGTTCATGGTAAGTAACAAGAAAGTTTACTGCTTATGGTTAGTCAATCAGTTAAGTGCCATAGGTGATACACACTTTGGCAATCATGTCTCTTTTGATTCATGACTGACTAGCAGAAGATTTTCCCACAGTAGGTTGCCATTTCTTTCTGCAGTGAACTGTTATTCAACCCATAGTTGGCGTGTAGAAGAGATGGATTCATACCCTTTCCCAAGCATATTTGCGTGTGAATGAGTGTAACGAACCCGACTGGAATTTGAACTAGATTTCCATTACACCGCAACGCACATCCACGTGTTATAGTGAGCGTGCATAAATTTAAAAAAAAAAAAAAAAAAAAAAATCATGGGAGATAACTATTGCCGTTCTATGGGCGTCATTATGGATAAAGGGAGATTATTTCGAAGGAAAAGAGTATTACAATTTACCTTAAAATTTGTAATTAAATAAAGTTTTTTTTTCCACTCTAATTTCAAAATAATTTCTGAATTGTCATCACATCATCATGACAAAAATATTTATCTAATAAAAGAAAGAGTTAGCAAAATAAATAGGATTTATTGAGGTAACTTTTAAAAAAGGTGTTTTAATTTCATTAGGTTAAACAGTTTTATGTGATATGGCCATTCAAGACATAGGAAATCATGGCTCCTCACAACTTCTTGTTTTTGGGGTTTTTTCCTTATCTGGAGTAACTTTTGACTCTTACCAATTTTTTTCTGTCATCCTTTTGCCATCCATTCACACGAATTTGATGAGTAGCTTACTGTTTCTTTTAGCTTCCCTTGCCTTCAATATGTACTGTGAGTGTTAGTTCCCAGACCCTCTTTCCTCATTATGTGTACCAGAAACTTCAACTCTGTCTCTTTCTAATTGTAAGTTAATGTTTCCTTAAAATTTCTTATATGCTTATATGCTCTGCCCATGGTTTTCTCAGCATTCTCCTGCAGAACCAAATGTCTCTTGCTTTAAGTCTCTTCTTCATCTGCAAAGATATTGACTAACATTCATTGTTCATCTGGGAAATTAGATATTAAATAACAGTTCAGAACTGTTTTCTTTGTCTTCAAGGACATTTTCCTATGCTTAGTTCATAATTGTTTTTTTAAAAAAGAATAATTACAAAGCATGCAACTTACAAGAGCCACCAAATAAATCTTCCCTCATTTCTTTCTCATATCTTCCTTTGGTCAAATGACAAAGCTTCTTTCCAGATACAGGGTCAGGATCATTTGATGTGCTGGCAGGGGTCAACTTTTCAGCAGCCAACATTTTTTCAGCAGCATTTGGCTACAATTAATAGTCACAAACATTATTAAATATACAATTTGGAGGATTAAAAAAAAAAAAAAAAAAAAAGGACAAAAATGGAACAAGCAATATTATAAAAACATAATTACTGGAAAAAAATAATCAGTGAATAATTATCATTTTTTATATTAGATAAAATAAATTGTGAATCCATATGTATTTTGTAAAGTCTTTCTACATTATCAGAAGAGCCCTCTAAACAAACATTAGCAAACTGCTTATATATATATATATATATATAGACTCTTCTGGAGACGTAAATCAAATGCTTCAAGTGAAAGAAATATTGCATCAAAGGAACTTTTAAACTGTAACTTGCTCTGTAGACAAAAATTTAAAAAAAAGATATTTTTAGGTAGTTTCAATGTTTTATTAAAGTTATTTGATTTATTATAAAAACTGCAATCTAAAGTTATTGTGCAAAACTAGAAAATCACTTTTTACTTCAATAACAATAAAATCATCAACAATTGATCATCACCTATAACATAACAAATAACAAGCATATATGATAAGTCTTTGAAGCATTTACATCTTAATATAGTGACCCTTCTTCTCAATAACAGCCAGCAATCTATTATTCATTGATTTTGTAATTTTCTTTTTTTTACTTCAGCAAGTTCAATTTTCAACATGGTGGTTTTAATTACTTCCCATAAGCTTGCTGTGCTGTCATATAGTTTGCCACCTACATATAATTTCATCATCACAAGTGACCATAGATTTTTGACTGGATTCAGATCAGGACTTGATAGTGACTGTTCCATTATCTTCTGACCTGTAAAACTTTTATGCTCAAAAAATTCACAGATACATGAGAAGCAGCATTATCAGGCATAGACACTTCGGTTTGAAACTTCAAGACTGGGACTTGTACCAGTCAAAGAAAGCCATTTCATGAAATCACAATAGTTAGCACTGATAAGTTTAACTCATATCTTCACACTGCCATCTCCTTGCTGCCTTCCTTTAGCCACAGGCACATCTGCATCAGATAAAATCCATCCTTTGGCCCATCCATCAGGTCCATTGAATGTTACTAGAGACTTGTTAAATGAAAATAACTTTAGAAAAGTCAAATTTTCATGTATTTCTTGACCCAATTTTAATGTTTTAAAATATTTGCTTTACTAAGAGTAGTTTGCCCCAAAGATTTCTTGAAAGGTCCCAATTTGTGAAGTATCCTACACCTTTTGTCCTCCTTTTTTCTTTTTCAAATCCTGCATGTTCAAAGATTCTGAGCACTGCTAAAAAGTGCTTGCTGCACTATAACTCACTTTAGTTTACATTTCTCCCAAAAGGAGATATTCTTAATGCCTTTTCCTTTGCTTCTACTTTTTCAGCATTTGTTAGATCCTCTCCATTACCCAGGTTTCAGCATATATTAACATAGTTTTTATTAGATTTAAGAGGCTTTGAACTAATATCAGTTTAATCTGCCTAATAACTTCAGACTGCAATTTTTTTATAATAAATCCAATAGCTTTAATAAAACATGTTGCAACTGCTTAAAAATTTAATCTAAGCTTTGTTTTGATGCCTAAATTGTTTAAAATTTGACAAAAATCATTCAAAGCAAATTCAAGTTATTAGGTTTTGTGTGATTTGCAAAACTTCAGGTGGACTGTATGTTGGGATATATATATATATATATATATATATATACACACACACAAAATTGTGCCAAATATGACAACCTAATTCATTGTTCTGATGACAATACCAGTGTGATTTACAGATAAACATCTGAACTGAGAAGGCACATGGTGGCACACAGAGTTGTAAGGCATACAGATCCAATAAAGCCAATCAAGGATAGAGTTTACCTGTCATAACTGCCTGATACCTATGAAGTGAAAAGCTGATCTCAAAGCCATCACAAGTGATGCAAGGAATGAGGAGACAGCTCGCATCTGAGTAAGTGGAAATCACCACACACACACATTTTATATATATATATATATATATATATATATATGCAATCTAATTATATAACCAACAAATACTAATTTTACAAAATAATCTCTTTAACAATAAACTTAACTCATATAGTTCAACCATCATGGTTATAATTTCAGATCAAAATTCAGCTAACTACATTCCAGGCTACAGAATTATTGATCCACTTTTATATTTCATCATTTTAATAACCAAATATTATTAATTACTTTCAGGGTAGACACACTTCTAAAATTTTTTGAATTAATATTTTTGTAAATGTAGATTACGTTGAAAAAATACTGTGTAAATTTAAATCTTGGGGAGTGAAGCATAGAAATTATAATGTCTAAAATTTTAAGAACCATTATCATTTCAAGAGTTATGAAGACCATTGAACTTATTGTTTATATTGTTACCCAATTCCAGCAGATCAATTCTACAGCCTTCTTCATACATAATTGTTCTGTTTTTTCCTCTTTGGTGCCTAGAATTTATGAACTTAGACACAGTACTCAGTAGGCAGCTAGGTTTTATCATATTACAGTTGAAATGGCTAGATGTAACTAAATTTGATGTTAAGTTTCTTCTCTTGTGCTTCTAGCTTCTTACTTTCCAGCCAACTTTGATCTTCAAAAATTTTAATCCAATGTCAATTGTTATCTTTTGTCTTCTTAATTCCTGTTCTTTTATTGTTCTCATCTCTTAATAATGTTTTTCTTTTTTCTCATTCTTTCATGCAGAGCAACCCCTGGTCTTAGTGGCTTTATTGCCTTGCTTGGGATGAAATGATTAAAGAGTTTTTTTTCTTTTTATAAAATAAATGAAAAGAAAATGTTGGCTAATGCACAATCCAGTTCAGTTCATTCCCAGCAACATGAGCCACACAGATGATTCTCAGCTATCCATGTAATATAAATGATTTCATATATTTATACATTGGGATGTCCTCCAATTAACCCTCTAGTAAAGAAAACCACATTACTCTCACTTGACTTGTGAAATTCTGAATTTTTGCTTTTCACATGTTTCCTCCCTATTCATAGAACCTCACACAGCTTCCTCACTCTTAAACTCCTACAGGCTGAACTTAAGAAAGAACTGTTTTCATTTTCATATTCTCATGCAAAAGATAAAAAATCATCTACAAAAATACTGATATAATCTCACAACAAAAATTTGATATTTTCAAGAAAAACTGTAGAGTTTATCAGCTTTTCATTTATACTATTATATTTTGTAATATTTTTTATTTATGTAATATTATCCAAGTTATACTTGCTATATATGTGTAATATTACATTCCCTATATCTAGAGACATTTAATAAAAAAAGAAAACTATTTTTAATGGAGTTCAATGTGATTCCTTTCATTATTTTCAAGATTAGAATTTGAGTTAAGTCTATTTTCCAGCTTACAAGATAAATTTCTCTTCATCTTAGATTTATTTTTGACACTCACCAATCTTTCAGCTTCAATTAAGCCTTTTAAAAATTCTATCTTCTTCACATAACTGTTTAGTTCTTCTTTAGAAGGGCAACTGAAAATCAATACAAAAAAATCACATAAATCAAAAAACAATACATTGATATTATTTGATATCAATAATCAAAGGGAACATTTTTGTATCAGTCAATTGCAGATCTTGTTCACCTGTAGTAAGAGAAAACATTCAATTATATACACATTATTCTTCTACATGCTGTGTCTCTTCTGAATGTTAGAGAACATTTTTCTCCACAATTTCCTGTTCTTTATGGCTTTTAATAAATTTTGCCTTTTTGTTATCTCTCCTAAACTCTGTTCCTCCATCCATTTACATAAACTCACTAGATGTGTTGTTTTCTTCTGTCCCTCTTGCCTTCACCATGTCCTGTGAGTATCAAATTTTCCAAGCCTTCTTTCTTCATTATGTACCCAAGAAATTTCAACTGTCTCTTCCTGATGTTAACTTTAAGTGTCCTTTTCATTTCCATTTTCTCTAAACTTTTTGGTCTTGCTCACATGTTCAGTCCATGGTATTGACAGCATCCTTCTATACAACCACATTTACATTGCTTCAAGTCTTTTCCTCATCTGTGAAGAGATTGTCCAGCATTTACTGCCATAGAGGACTGACGTTACATAACAATTCAGCACTATTTTCTTTGTTCCTAATGAAATTTTTCTGTCTCTTAATATTTTGCTTAGCTTTCACTATCCCAATGCATCTTTGGATTCCAGTGTTGCACTTTCTGTCTTCTGCTAAAACACTTACCAGATATTTAAATTGTTGTACTTGACTAGATAGAAATATGAAGTATTACATTATTTTTTCCTTTAAAAGAATAGAAATATCTTAACTACATTATTTAAGCATCAGATATCTTTCTAGAAGAATATTACACTATGATGAGAAACCTTGGCACAGAAATGATGTTGACTTGATCAATATAAAGCACTAACTGAAATTTGATCTTATTTACTTAATTTTATTTTTTTAATAACAATTTTGAGTATGTAAAAATACTCTGGAATACTTTCTTTACAAATGACTTTTTTTTTACTGCATTTCAAATCAACATATATTATTTAATTGGCTTCAATAGAATTTACAACAGCATAGAAAATGCACTTAGCAGGAATAATATGGAAACAGAAATTAGTTGGGTTAATTTCAAAATCATCTTGGATTTGATTTGAATTTAAACCAGATAAAAAAAAAGCTACATTATTACTACATTATTTACATTTGGACTATTGTCTTCATTTTTGTTGTTTTTATCACAACATTTCAGTCATTGGGACTTCTGACCTTCATTAGGTATAGGGAATTCTGAACTGAACCTAGTCATAAGTATTAACTTACATTGATCTTGATTTCACCTTTGCTTTACTATATAATACATATTCTCTTTTACTTGTATTCTTATTTGTTCTTAGCCCCATCATAGGCCACATTGTTTATTAATGGCTTTATGAAGATACTACTTCAGTTTTGTTTCTTATTACAAACCTTTTATTTAATCTAATTTAGTGATATCTCGTCTAGTTCTTAAGAACCCATTTCTAGGCATATCTCTAGATATGGGCAGTGGAATGAGAACAGAGTCTATCCCCATGGATTAAATAATGGGTTCAGTTCCCTCTTGGCTACGCAGATCAATATACACCTGATGAATGCTGAAAAGTTGGGATAACAACAATAGACCAAATGTAAATAATGTAAATAACTCCACTGTATATTCTCTGTAAGGTTTTTCCTATTTGGGGTCTATTCATTTATGTGATAAACCATAAATGATGCATGATGTGTATTTAAGAATGAAAAGTATAGACAGACTGATATGAACACAATTGGTCATGTTGTGTGCCAGGGTCAAAAATAAAACTCATAATTTTTACTTACGTGGGAGACTTTTTTAATTCTTCAAACATTTCCATTAATGCACGTATATACTGTAAAAGAAAAACAAAGGAATAAGAAAACAATCTGTTAGGGAATAGTTAAACTTTCATGTCATGCAAACAGAAACATTATTTCCTTATTGTAAAGTGTTCAACTTGAAACATATTCAATGTTCAGAGTTGGGGCTTTTTTGCCATCCAGCATCTGCTTTTCCTTTGACAGATTGCCTTCTTAGCATATTTTCATATTTTCTATATCAAATATACTGTCTATACTTATATTCTAAATTGAGTGACTTCATCATTCTTCGAATTCTTAACCAGTTGTATTTTTTTTTTTTGCTTATTAACTAAATCCTTCATTCCAACAGTAAATGACTATTTTCTATATCAATATTCTGCTTGTTTGAATGTACAGCTGTTAGACTTTTCTACCTAGGATCAGAATGCAGAATCAGTTCCATTTCCATTCTCCTGAAGTGCAATCAGTTATGCTAAGTGAGCCCTACATGTTTACATTAAACAAGAAGGAACTGAAGAGGGGAGAAGAGGAAAAAAGTGGGTGTGAAAACAGGAAAAAAATGGAAAGAAACCCAGAGGAAAGGTGTGTGTGTGTATATATATATATATATATATATATATATACACACACACACAGATATATTGATATACAGAGAGAGGTATGGTATATAAATGAAAGTAACAGAGGCAGTCTTGTGGACTAGACATTAAAAGATAAAAAGGGAGAAATAAAAAAAAAGTATAGGGATGACAAAGACAGAAAAAATATAGAAAATACTGAAAAGATAGGAATAGAAAGGTGTTTCAAAATTACAGTAAATTAATTTCCTTTACAGAAATAGAACAAAAGATAAATAAAAAAAAAAAGATGGTGCAGCTGAAAATATTTATACATTCCTCCTCCTTTTTTTTATATATTAAACTAAGCCATAAATAATCTAAAAGTACAAAAGGGTCAATAAAGACACTGGAAAGGATAAGGAAAAGAAAATAGAGATACAAGCAAATAACCTCAGGGTCACATCAACATGAGTTAATGACTGAAAAAAGATTCACATTAACTAAAAAGTTTAGCATCTCATGTGTTTAAGACATAAAATATAACTACATTATGTAAAAATGTTTGGGTTTTTGAAATAATGAGTATCTTGTGTACAATGTACAAAAGCAAAGTCTTAACACAAGAACAACTCATACACAGATCATATTATTCACCAACTACAAAAAAGACTAAGATCTAGCAAAAAGATTTATTGAAAACATATGACTTATTTTAGTTTATGTTTATTGCTGCATTCATGAAATCTGATGCAACAAATATTCTGCAACCGTAGCCCAGCCAAACAATCACTAAATTCATCTTCTGGAAAGAAAATTATTAAATATCAACAGTTATTCTGCTTATAATTACCGAATAAAATTTTTATAAATTTGATACAATTTTCTGAGGTAAAAGTATTGAATCAATTTGGTTGCAGCTAAAGAGTTCTTTTTTCCTTAGTTTTTGCATATTTTTCCAAAAATACATGATAACGCAAAAAAAAAAAAAAAAAAGAAAAGGGAAATAACTCGCATAGAAAAAATTACTTCCCTTAGAAAATTTATACACAAGGGTTTCATGAAATATACTTATCATCCAAATTAATTTTCTAGAAAAAGAGTAAACGACGTACTAGTAGCAAAAAATAAATTAAAAAAATTTTCTGTGTTTACAGCTCAAAGTGTCAACCATTTTGGTTAACAAGTGACTGATACAGCACTTTCCTGCAAATCATAAAATCAACGTAGATTTATATGGATTGAAGTGAGAATGCACAAGAAGAATTCAATTTAATGTTTTTGGAAATTAAAATAGTAAAACATTTTTGTTTTTATTTCAGTAAGTTATATCAAAATAATTTTTTGTATTTCAGAAAAGATTAGATTATATAGTCATTACGTCAATGATATGCAAAATATGTCAATATTTTAATTTTGAATTTTTTTATAACACTGCCATTTTCATGATGTTGCTGTCTTTTCTAAGTAATCCTAAAAACAGTAATCCTAAAAATTTAAGAAAATATTCTCTGTAATGTTTTATTGAATTTCAGAGAATTTGGGCTCTAAATTTACTATAAATGTCACTCTTACTTTCTTATAGTGTCGTGTATGGGCGATCATATTTATAAAATTCAGTACATTTTTACACATACAAAAACAATTCAAAATTCTTTTACAAATATTCGGGGGTGTCAGATTGTATTAAGCTTTACAATATATGATTAGTAAATATAGTTTTACATAATAACAATCTTTCCTAAGAGTTACACCACAGAAACTGAATATTAAAAATTTTTTAAATATTATAAATCATTCTAATTAAAATTTTTAAAAAATGAAAAATTTTGTACATTCATCTTTAATTGAAAAAAAATGTCCTTAATATATTATATAATTCATAAATGCAATTAAAAGCTTCTCTAATTAAATGCCCTAGTTTTATTGCATTTTTACTTTTCAATTCAGAGCAGTTTTTTGGTAAGTTGGGGTCTTATTTTACAAAAAAAAAAAAATCAGTGTTTGAAATTCTCCAGAGAATTCTGCTTTTAACTAATATAGTCACTAAAAATAATCATGTTGAATTTCTCAAGTTTTCATAAAATTAAGTAAAATATATATTTACCAAGATTTTCTAATAAAAACATTTTTAACATAATTTCATTCATTTGTGAATAAGTCCTGAAAATTTAATTAAAATCTAACAATTATTTGATTTTTGTAAGAATTACCAAATTAATGTTTTTCACAGCCAAAAAGATGTTAAAATTTGCTGTTCCAAAATATATTACATCTGCTGACACAAGAAAACAAGATTTTTAATCTAAATTTCAAATGTTCTAAAAAGGATTAAAAACTTTAATCAAATATTCTTTGATCTTTCCTCTTAATAATAACAAAGACTTTGATGATAAAACTGTTTTCATGATGTTTGGAGCATGTTTTCATCATGGTATGCTGATTTTTTTGCAATTTTGTGGAGGTACCTATAAGTCTACCATTTGTCCTTGCTTTGATTTGGTCTGGTGCTTCTGTTATATATATAAAATCCTGAATGATATAATAAATCCAAAGAAAAATCTGCAATGTTATTGGTCCTGACCTGACATCTCAGTCACTTTCCCATTGCTGTAACATAGCTTCACTGTGCCTTTTTTATAAATACTTTCATGGTATTTTTTCTGATAAACATTCCGCTATGGTACCTAGAATTTATGAATTTAAGCACTGTACTAGATTGGCAGCAAGGTCTTATCATTTTATAGTTGAAATGGCTAAATGTAACCGTAAGTTGTAACAGTTTCTTCTATCGCACTTCTCACTTGTGGAATTTTCTTCCAGCTTCTTGTTTCCCAGTCAACTTTGATCTTCAAAAATTTAAATGTAATGTCAATGATTATCTTTTGTCTTCTTAATTCCTATTCTTTTGCTGTCTTCTCTCCATAACAGTATTTTTTCTCATACTCTCTAACACTCATCCTAGTGGCTTGTGGATTAAAAATATATAAGTTGTTTCATTGTTTTTTTGGCAAAATGTAAGAGATTCCACTTGGTATACATTCTTTTGTGAAATTGGTGTCATTGTGTTTGTAATTATGAATGATAGTAGTGGTAATATTCTTTTATTTTGTGACATTTTAATTTGAAAATAAAGGCTTCAATTTCCAGGGACGTGAATTTATATATATATACATACACACACACACACACATTATTAAAAAGAATAGATATTTTATGTTTAATTTTTTTTTTCTGTGTGTAAATAACTTTTTGCAGATGTGGCTGTTGTTTATAGATAAAATAGCTGAAATTCATATTATATTATTAGCTTATATGTGAAAAGAAAGGCATATTTTAAACAGTACTTTGTTTTTGAAAGTGATGGGTTTTTGGGGGTTTTTTTAAACTAAATGAAACACAGCAAGTCATCTGACAACAATGCATAATAACATGTAATAATTTAAAATATTTTTTCTATATGCATTCCAGAATACACAGTATCAGACTATAGTTATTTTTGTTTATGAATGGTTGCATAAGCTGGATGTAAATCACTTGAATAATCCTTTTTTTTTTTTTTAAACAGTTAGATTCATAAAGTATTCTAGTATTATTAGAAAGGTGCTATATATTATAATTTTTGTGTTGCTTGTTAATGTGCTCCCTAATGGCACTTTGGTCAGATAAATGACACAAAAGAATTCAATATATATATATATATATATATATATATATATATATTATTTAAAGAAAAACAGACCACTTTAAGGTTCTATTGTTATAATTTATTTCACCAGAGATTTTCTTTTTCTCTGGATCATCAGACCTCACTTCCAAGGATGAAAAAATGAATTTAAACTTACACTTTTGAAGGGCAATATTAAGTTTATGTAAGGTGATATAGAGAGTGGTGAGTGATAGTGTGACAGACATGGTCGAAATTAGAGAGGGAAGGGAGAGACAGGAATGCTTTTAAATTTATTTTTATTACAATACTTAACATTGAGGGGGGGGGGGTAAGAATCATATATTATATCATTTATATATATAAATTTTTACAACCACAATTGCAAAAACAGCAATAATGTTTTCAGCCTTTAATAGATAATGATGCTGGGATCAGTTAAGTGTCATTACCGCTCCAGCAGTACCTCACAATATCAGTAGACCTTTGTTAGTTTTCTATCATAATATGAGAATGCCAAATCAAAGTATATGCAGATTCTACCTGATCTTAAAGTCTTTTATTTCCTCTTTCAAATTTAGTCAGGTATGCTATGTTCAAAGTGGCAATAAAACCTTGATATACAACTCCAATATATTATTTTATTTTTTATTTTACAGGATATGAAACCTTTTGGAGTTATTTAAAGCTAAAACATATTTTAGATTTTAAGAATAATTCTTTTTGTGCAGGTGACAGGGAATGAGCATAGCATTAACTGTTTTTTTTTTTTTCTAGATGTACCAACAGAGCCATGATCATCTACATCCTGAAGGGTCACAGCACATATATGATGATGATGATGATGATCAGTGACACAGAATTAGGGTACACCTTTGCCAACAGATTTGCATAAATGGACAGAGTCAGGCACCAGTTGTGCATGCAATTTACACATTAAATATCAGTCATCAACTTCATTTTTTGCAAAAAAGAAAAATTTCATAAAAAAATTAATGTCATATTTGAACAAAGCAAAACTAACTACATAAGGAAAATGCATTTTCATACAAAAAAGCCAGTTATTTTAGATAATCAAATCTTAACCTAAAATTTAGGTCCTAAATTGATTATATAGAGTACTTTCTCGATTAGGATCTGGACACCTTGGCACAGAAGTCAAAAAATATGTATGGGTAATTCAAAATTCTGTATAATTGAATACTTAAATTATCAAAAAATTATGAAAATTTAAGATTTATATCATTGAATAACATTTTCAAATGTTTTGTTCAGTTTATTTTTTCTGAAAAAAATGTATTAATCTTTGTTTTGACTGGCCTTGTGTTTTCTGCCATTACCTACCATCCAAGGTATTTGTAAGGGTAGCTTCTGGCTGACAATAATACAACTAATTTAAACATTTGTCAAGTATAATCTCATTACTTTTTTATCGAATGTAGAGTATGGTTTTCCAAATTCTCAAAACTCTGATCTGTGATTAAATATTAGGATGGCTTTCACTTTTAGCATTCTGCTACCACTTGATAGTGTTAAATTATTATTATTTTCAATTCAGCAAATACTATTGGTCAAAAAAGATTTCAATGCTTTTTCTATGTAATAGTTTCTTTCAACAGCAAATTTTGTGCAAAAAGTAGATCATAGAAGCTTCTATTTAAGTCTGATTTTTGATTGTTTAACAAATGCTAAAAATTACTTTTCACCTGTTCTCAACTATGTCCAAATCGAATCAACCTAGTTTCTGACCAGAGTTAAAACACAAATTGAGCCAAGCAATTTGTAGCCTATCACATGGTTCACATTAATTATAAATATTTGGATACATCTTCACCCTTCCTCTTTTCTCTTGCCTTCTCTCACATACAAGATGTAGCTCAGTAGAGAGGTTGTGTTTTCTCCCTTTGGGGAAAACGCTATGAATCACGCACGCACACGTACATATGAACATCAAGCATCTATGAACATTCACTCCTCCAACAACAAGGACACAAAAACTTAACAACTTTTAACAGTAAGACAACGAGAATTTAACTACAATATACATCGTTGTTGAATGCATTTCTCACTGTTTGACATTTATTACCAACCGTGGAATTTTTCATCAGTAATAACTTATCTTGCAACTGTTAGCTTGAGGGCTCACAGGCCTCAAAACTCACTCTCAGCACATTTTTACTCAACAGATTGCTTGGCAAGGAATTCTCTATAATTTATACCAAATCAACTCAGAAGTGTAAAATTTCTCTTTAAACATGAATCACAACTTTTGATCTTTAACTTATATTCAAGTATTTCTCTCACTCAACAAACTTTCAAGAATTATCTACGACAAACCTTTTGTGGAAGAACAACACTTTCTTCTTTGACAGCTTTCCTTTCGGCTGGTATTTACTTTCGTCAAGTAATTTTGAACTATTATCTTATTTCAGATAAAAATATTTTACCTTTTAAACTCTGACAAAGAATCAATTTAACAGATAAAGGTAGACAACTTCTACCGCATTCTTAATATTAAAATTCTTAAGATTTGTTAAAACAGTTTGACTTCAGACTGATTTATTCATTACAAATCCTACATTATTGGCATACACTTTGTTTGAACACACTAAACAAAAAGACTTTTTAGTTGCCATAAAAAACATTTTTGTGTATAAAATATCAACTTTTAATTTCTGCAACTCAGTATAAATTTCCGCGTCATTTCATTTCAATTTCATCATATAACTTTGTTATTGCAATATAAACGCTTTTCTTGTTGAATGTTAGTCTTCTTGTTTGATTATTCCTTGTTAGCACATTAAAATAAATAAAAAAAATAATAATACGGGTTGATTCGATCGAGGCCGTTCAACCCCCCATACACTCATAACTGAAAAATGATGGGATGATTTCAATTTTTTTTCTTTAAGTTCGGATAATCGAAGAATACTGTTCATTTTTAATTTTAAGTTAACATTTTTTAGACTTCAGGGACACAATAAGAATAGAAGGGCTGGTGAATTTGACACTCACGGGACATATTGAAGGGCAGTGAAAACTTGTGTAAAAAATAAAAATAGATGGTCGAACAAGGAATGGGTGATAGTAAGTAAGGTAACAAACATTACAAAGGATAGGAAGTTGTAGAGAGTAATGATCACCTATGTCATGTACTGAACAGATACAGCACATGATAAAAGGAAAAGAATACTCAGCAAATCATCTCTTTTTTTTTTTTTTCAGTCTTTTTCTTCACCTTGTCAAAATCAAAAATAAAATCCATATCAGATTCAAATTTTGGTTACACTGCAATATTATTTAATAAAAATATACAACACGGAAATTTTTTTTTTTTTTTTTTAGCAATATTTAGTTTAAAAAAAAATTAATCACTTTCTCGTCGTTTAAAAATACATCTTTTAAACCACACAACTCGATAAAAAAAATCTCAGCTGAGCAGGTTGTTTTCAAAACAAACAGTTAAAAAATGCGTTATTCTAAGTAACAAGTTAATAATTTTACAAACAGTAAGGGAAAAGATTAATTATAAAATCGTAACTTGGAGGATATTATTTAAGTTTAAGCTTAAATCAAGTAAGCATATTTTTTAGTAATGTTTTCAACTTTGTTTTTCTTCTAAATAAAAAAAAAATGTTTAAAAATTCATCCGCCGGTACATACCTGGCACTAAAATTTTGCCAATAAAACTCACATATATAAAACCTAACAGTTACTTATATTTGGACCCTAACCCACACAGACCTTTTCTAGTCTCCAATCTCCAAGTTTCTTCTCTTTGACTTTTTCCTCGCAGCGACTTAACAATCGCATCATGTTGACTTCCAGACGCGTGGCCACCATTTTGTCGACTGACCGGAGTTTACCGAAAACGATTTGCGGAAATTACCGACAACGTCAGTAAGTTTGATACTAAAAGCAGCAGCAGCTGAAAGCGGGTTGAATGAAAATCGGTAAACTCCGAAAAATTATTTCACGAAAATAACCGAAGTGTAAACATTTCGCTGTCTGCTAGCCGGTGGTGGCTTCTCTGCATCAAAGTTGGTTACCAAGGGTAACAAAAACTTTTTTTTATGTGTGTGAGTTGATGCTCCAACAACAGCAACAAGAAAGGTAAGAAAAAGTTGTCTTCTTTTATTTATTTAAAAACTTTGGTTCATATCATATAACTTTAAAAAAAAAGAGAAAAATAGCACCATCCACACCCTGACACTTTCTCTGTTGTGCAATTGTACATGATTTCCAATCATTCTTAAAAGTTGTTTATTTATTAATTGGATCTGCATAGCTTATCTATCTGATAAGATTTGATAAGATCTCGACCTAACCAAGAAGCACCTCAAAAAAAAAAAAAAAAAAAAAAAAAAAAATTTAAAAAAAAGAAAGAAAAAGAAATAAAAAAATATATTAATTGATTTTTAGAGAAATGGATTGGGCCAAGTTTTGTGGCAACTCCTCCTATAATTTATTTATACAAGTACAATTAGGTGTTATATAAACTAAATATAGGCTCGGAATTCCTCTGCTGATTTTCAAGGTAAGCGACTTCATTATCGGAAAATTATTGCTGCACAATCTTATTGTTCGATAGATAGATAGATAGATAGATAGATAGATAGATAGATAGATAGATAGATATAGATTGGAGGTCCATAATTTCTTTTTCTTTTTACCTCTCCGTAAATAAATTTAAACAACACTTTATCTTTAAAATATTTCTTCTTCTTCTTCTTCTTCTTCTTATTATTATTATTATTATTATTATTATTTCCTTTGATTTCTGGTGTATACACATTTCTTTCTGGGTCCCGCCTAGAGACCTAAGGTCAAAAATGGCATCCTGACATTTTCCACTGACGAATTAAACACACACACACATACATACATACATACATACATATTTTACATAAATAAAGCCCTTCGTAAGGTGTGGGCTATACTCGTAAGAACAATTTTTTTTGTATTTCTTTAGTTTAAGGCAGTGGTTTCCTGGGATCCCTTCAATGAGTCTACTAGAATCTTTTCCAACCAATCCGAGGGCTCCAACTACAACAGGGATTGTTGATGTTCCCATGTGCCACATTTTTAAGATTTCGATTTCAAGGTCCTTGAATTTTGATAGCTTTTTGGAGATCTTCAAAGATACTTTGCAGTCTGCAGGTACTGCCATATCAATAAGGAGGCATTTTTTTTTGTTTGCGGTCTCTCATAACAATGTAAAATTTCGCAAAGGGATTTATCAAGTGTTAATTTTTCTTGTGTTCTTATAATTTTCTTCTTTTCTGGAAGTAAATTATGTAGAAATTATCCAAATATTTTCTATTTCCGAGCGCTATACTTTTATATCAAACTCTATCCGTAACATACTTGTTGGCAATACAAATATAAATAGCTTCATTCACAGGTAAAAAAAAAAAAAGCTAAAAATAATGGAAGCATTATTAATAAAAAAAGAAAAAGCTAACACTCAATAATATCAACTATTAAGACGGCTACAATGTGCTGACCATGTTTGTAAAATAAAACATTCCTATAACTCAACATATATATATATATATATATATATATATATATATATATGAATAAAATATACTGAAAAAAACAAACAAAATCCTAATATATAATCGCATATTAGGATTTTTTTTGTTTTTTTCAGTATATTTTCTTCATACTATCGGATCTATATCCATATATTTGCTTACATATATATATATATATATATATATATATATATATATATATATATAACAATCCATACATTCAGTTAAAAGTAAAAATAAAATATTCCTTGATAATAGCTAAAAAAAAAGTATAGCTGCAAGCACTTTGATATACAGAACACTCAGACAATTTCTAAATAATTTACGTCCAGAAATTATAACACAAGAAAAATTAAATAAAAAACTTAACCGCAGTAACTTGTCAAACGTTTTAACGAAACTTTATATATATATATATATATAATGTGTCTGGATTAATTTCTTATATATATTATTTATATATTATATATATGCGCGGTACTTATTGGAAAGCGCTCAATATCAGTGATAGAGCTGACATATTTAGTTGGATTGGTATGAGTTTGTGACCCTGGGTTTCGCGCTATTTAAATTTTGGATTCATATATGGTTGCGTATATCGGTGTTTTTATGGAAGTGGGAGTCAAAATTGTCGCCGGATTATCACTCATACGTACGCAAACATACACGCACATTCACTCATTGACGGACGCAGACATATATAGACGCACGCTCACTAACTGGTGCTCACACAAACATAAACATATATGAACAGTGTGGGACTGGGCATATATGCGCATCCATGTGCCGTTGCGTACATACGTACGCAATTGGTCGCTGTATTCAATGTTGGATTGTGTAGTGAACAACTTTCGTCAGTTGTGGTGTCAGCGCGCAGACCGTTCGTCTATTTTGTTTACCGAATAATGTTTTCTCGCACTCACGTATATACGTATACACACACGTTCACAGATCTTCTATCCGTCTGTTTTCTTTTTTTATGATGGGGGTCTATGTAAGACTATGGTAGGTAAAATTCCTATTATTTTTTTTTTTTTTTTTTTTTTTTTTTGCGCAGTTGTAACTGATTTTAACGTTATTTTTGTTGAATATTTTTGCTGATCAGTTTGTTTCAGAGAAGTGCTTTTCTGTTAAGTTTAAGAATGTCCTTCCTATATTTGTTTTGAGGGTTTTGTTGTATGGTGGGTTAAACCAGATAATGTTTCTGTTTTTGTGTTTCGGTTGTGGAGGTATGTATTGTAGTTGTTGTGTGTATCCACTTTTTAGTGCTTCGTCATATGGCGTTTTCTTGTTATTGAAAATGTCTATGTTTGATGAGTTTTCTGATAGCCTGCGGCTGATTGATATGAGTATTTGCTTGAAGATTGAAGGTAGATAGTTGGAGAATGTGTGTACGTAAATTGGGGTGTCATTATCTTTTTTGTTCGGTTCGTATGTGTTTTTGTTCAGGTTGAGAGTGACGTATAAGAAATTTACTGTTCTTATATCTGCATTTATTTCTATTTTAAATCCAATTGTTTTTAGGGCGTTTACTATTTTTTTCCCCCTAAATCTGTCTAATTTGTGGCCACTGGGTTCTCTTATCAGGATAAGTCCGTCATCTCTATATAGTCCCGTGTCTATTTTCTCTAGGATCCTGGCTAGATATGAGAGGATGAATATGCCTACTAATTCACAAATGGTCCATCGTAGCTACCCATTGTTACATCAAATAGGTCGTATTTTTTTTTTTTTTTTTTGGCCATGGCTCATTATTGTGGAACGACAGATATTTACGACAGTACTTGTTTATTTCAATATCTCCGTCTGTAATTTTTACATGTTCTTGTGCTCGTTCTATAGCGTCATTCAATATGTTTTCCGTGATGGATGGGTAGAAATTCACTATGCCAAATTAGATGAAAGAAGCTTTGTCTTTGTTTTTTTATTTCTGTAAACCAGTCTGTGACAGCTTTGGTATTTTTCCATTAGTTAAGTCCTAATTTTTCCCTTAGCTTGGTGTTGATAGTTTCTAATATGTTTTTGCTGATTTTTCCTATTTCGCTTTTCGCAGGGTTGATTAGGCAGAATGTGGGTTTTTTTCACGAAGTTGGTTTTGTGGTCTTTTGCTGTCATGAAAGCGTGTTGTTCGGCTATGCGGTTTTTCCTTTCATCTATTTTTAATTTGACGGCCATATCTTTAGCTTTTTGGTTTATCGTGTTTTTTGCGTTCGCGGTTGTCTTCTTGCATAAATGTGTGATGTTAGTTATGTGTTTATTGTAGGCTGTGGATTCCATTGTGTATATGTTTATAGTCTTGTCAGCCAATATGAATACCTTATTGGAATTCATTATTTTTTTCTTGTCTTCTATAATTTTCTTCTGGAAATTGTCCAAGTGTTTTTAACTTAAAGTTTCTGACTATATTTGTCATGTCCTCCTCGAATTTTAGCATTTCTTTACATTTTGGTGGTCATTTCCTTGTATTGAAGTCAAATGTCTCAGGTTTTTCAGTTATTTCGTTTTTTGTGTCGTTGAAGAAGAACTATGCCTTCCATTTCATTCTTCTTATGAGACTTTCGATTTTCTCTGTTAGTTGAAGTTTATACGAACATTGGGTGGGTATAGGGATGTTTTTCAGTGAGTATCCTAGGTCAAATTTATCCATTTTTAAAAAAACAAAAAAGAACAGCGCGAGTCCTCAACCCGTGGGAGAGCGAAGTATATATAAAATGTCTATATATATATATATATATATATATATATATGCATTTTTTATATATATAAATTATTTATATATTATATATGCGCGGTACTTATTGGAAAGCGCTCAATATCAGTGATACATCAATCCAACTATATATATATATATATATATGTTGTGGTAAGATCCACTTAATTTGCATAGTGGAGTACCGACCATATAAATATGGTTGGTACCGGGAAGACGAGGAAAGGAATCAAGAGATTCAATCCAGAGACTCTGCCCGACTGCGATTAAATCAACACATTCTCCAGGAACGGTCTTCCCTAGAATATACAAAAGACTATATGTAAATACTGTGTACACTTTCTTGTTTCAATACATTTTGTTCTAAGTACATTTTGTGTTGTATTATTATTCCATGCATTAGTCAAGTTTCAACAATATATATATTAAAAACAAAATTCTAAGCTATCCTATATTTAGGGGTAGACCGCATGTAAATATAAAAGTGGACACTGAGGTCAACACCGAACGACAATAGTTTGTTCATGCTTGAATGTAATTTCAGTCTAGCTATATATATATATATATATATATATATATATATATATATATATATATATATATATATATATATATATATATACACATATATATATATATATATATATATATATATATGTGTGTGTGTGTGTGTGGACAAATGAGGGACCCTCCGGAAGTAATAGCTCGTATTCATTTCCATAAAATACTATAGCAGAAAAAAGTTTGCATACTGCGCAGGGAAGAATCTTCGCTTGCTGAAGCGACCCACTTCTTCATACCCATCGTTGTCGCAATGGAAGCACATTACCCACCGCCTAACGGTGCTTAAATCTGCAGTTAGATTTTGGCGAAAGCTCAGAAAGTATTGATGTATTTCAACTAGTTTCATTTTTCCGAATTAAAGAATTTAGTAACACACCTCCGCTTTTTAAGCTCTTTTCTGCACCCTTAATTTATACCCAATTATATGAAGTCAATCTAGTTTTGCTGCCTAACTGAAATTAACAGGCGATGCTTGTTTGTTTAATTATAATTATTTTTTTTGTCACATTTTGTCTTTTATTTATCAGTAGAAACGAAGATGGCGGATTCCGAAAACAAACGCAATAATAATGAAAACTTGGGAATCCAAAATTTCAGGATTGCGGTTTCGGATCCGGCCGGCAATGTTTTTAATTTGCTCACGGAGTCGGCCTGATTCCAAAATGGTATGATATGTTGGGGTACGGCCTGTAGGAGTAAAGTTGAAAGAGTGTGACACAGTGAAACACTGACATTCGCATTTATTATGTAGATGGGCCTGGAGACAACATGAACAGTGTAGTGATTAGTCAGGATTTATATTTTACTTTTGTGAATAAAACCTGAAGCAAATGTATGCAG